ACACACACACACACACACACACACACACACACACACACACACACACACACACACACACACACACACACACACACACACACACACACACACACACACACACACACACACACACACACACACACACACACAGAGAGAGAGAGAGAGAGAGAGAGAGAGAGAGAGAGAGAGAGAGAGAGAGAGAGAGAGAGAGAGAGATGTATTTGCGTTCACATGCTGATCTCAATGGTCCGTGCGTCCGTCCCTTCCTCCACTCGGCTGCCGGCTGCCCCGCTGACGCCTCGGAAGTTCCAGTCCGTAGGTTGGCACGCTCGCGAATGCCGACGAAGGAGGAGCTCTTCTTAGAGAAGCCCCTATCGGGTGATCTGCATGAGGTGCCCGGGCTCGGAGACGCCGGCATCCGCAAGCTCAACGTGGCGGGCTATGCCACTACGTATCAGTTGATTGGAAAATTTCTCCTCCTCAATCGCAATGAAGAGGAGTTTCTGGCATTTTTGCTCAAGCAGGGCAACACCCGGCCTCATGTCGACAACACGGCCCGCTGCATCAATAAGCGGGTAACGGAGAAGGGCTTCGCCTGCCACATTCGCCTCTCGGACCACGTCGTCAAGACTGCAGCAAATATGTTCGATGACACGAAAAAGACCGCTTTTCTGGAGAAGACTCTGAGGGGTCTGAGCCTCAGCGAAGCGTTTCATGGCATCAGGGACGAGACGCGCTTCAGAGCCAAGGGCATTGAGACGCCCGACCACCTCTTTGGCGAGTTTCTCATGATTCTCAACCACCCAGACCCCACCGAGAACACGAGCAAATGCGACGAGTTCTACGCACTCCTAAAGTCGCTCGGTGCGGCGAAGGGGCACAAGTCGGTCATCATTTACCAGTTACAGGCCAAGCTCGCCGTCGGAATTGATACACACGGCAAGGACGCTCTGAAGCTCAAGCACGAGCTGCCGGTCCTGCGGGAGGTCTCGAGGGAAACCTTGTGCGAGGAGGACTTTGACGACTTGCAAGAGGAGGCTCCTCTCACAGGCGCGGGTTCGCGCACGGGCCGTCCAAGCGTTGGGGCAAACGTCACGCCCAAGAAGCTCGACCTGAGCGACGCGAAGCCGAAGGACGAGGCGGGGCGCACGTGTTTCTCAGGAGGGAAACTGATCGTCGCCGTCGGCCTCCTCGCGGTCCTCGCGTACTTTCTCCTCGCGGACGAGGAGGGACAGCTTATGCTGCCGGAGCCCGGGCGTGCGCCAGCACTGCCGGGCCCCTGAGCTCCTCGTTAGGACGTGCTCCTTTGTTTTTTCATTTTGGGATCTCGCGCCACCGCCCAAGTTGCTGTTTTGGTACCCCAACCCCCATGAAAGTGATGACACGACTCATTCTAAATCAATGTTGTGCTGCGGCGACACTCTCATCTACTCCACCAGCGGGATTCAGGCTCAGCAAAAAAGCGGGAGCCCACGATTGAGGCTACACTGAGCAGGGCGCCTCCGCCAAGGATCGCCACCGCGAATTGGGCAGCAAGCGCCGTCAAGCGGGGTCTGGATTCCTCGCCCTCTGTGCGATGCTCATCGCCACTCGAGACAGCACGCACAGGCTTGGCCGCGGTTGCCGGCGTAGTGTCCTGGGGCGTCTGCCCGTCTCTCCCAGCGAGAGAGTCCACAAAGAGTTCATACTCACGGATGAGGATGTCAGGTGACTCCCTGAGCACCCGATGAGTGATCAGTCCCTGCTGCACATCATACAGCAGGTGTCGGATGGCGTGCAGGTTTGAGTGTGGGTGTTGGGATGAGCGCAGCTCCTTCGCCACGCCAAAATCGATTACTTTTAGCTCCCCCATTGCATCTGCGATGAAGTTGGAAGGATTACCGCAGTCGTTGTGCACGATACTCGCCTCCGTGCCCAGTCGTTTGAGGAGCGTGACCAGGCCACGCTGCTGCTTGGCGGAAAGCACACCGCCCTGAGACCGCGCGAGGGCGAGGAGCGTGCCTCCCGGGAGCAGCTCCATCACGAGCCGCCGTTGCGCGGTGTCCACCTCGAGGACGGCCGGCGCCAGGCCAGCCGATGCTGCACGGCCCTGATACTCGGCCTCCTTGCGGATCTTTGCGACCGACTTGGTCTTCTTGAACTGAGCGACAGCCACCACACGCCCGACAGGGTTGCGCGCCTCGTAGACAGCCTTGTCGCGGCCATCAGAGCCGAGCTGCGGCCCCAGGATATAGTCGTCCGCTGAACTGCCTTGGGCTGCTTTCTTGGGACTGCACTTCGCTCGGCCAGTTTGGCGAGTCCGAACCGGCATGGGCGAGGGCGTTGCGATCGGGACGTACGCACAGAGACCAAGATCTAGATCTGGTTTCGAAGAAGAAACTCCGCTACCGTCGGGTCTCTATTTTAAGAGCCACGATATTAGCAATACAACCCGGCTGCAACGTCCGATCAGTCCCCTGATAGCCCGGTTTGCCCGCTTCCCATCTTTGCCACTTGACCCTTTTCCCGTATCTCTGAAGCTCGACTCCTTTCCTCCCTTCTACAACGTTCCTCTTCTCCTC